ATTCCATGTTCCAGTCCCGAGTTTCTGCTTACAACTGTTCCTCCTTCTTGGTGTTTCCAAATTTGAGGGCACAGCCTCAGTTGCCATATCTGTTCTACTCATATCTGCCATTCTACTCTAAGTGTGCTCTGTTGTACATAGACTTTTCAAAGGCCTGTTATATTTCAGAAGTGTATGGATTATCCTTTGTCCTTGTATGTCTTAATTTGGATGCTTAGCTTTAGAACAATATCTCACAGATGAGCATTTTACTGAAAGGTGCAGATGAAAGACACTTCCCCTTACAGAAATAACCAATACACTCAAGTGTCCCCCCCATTCTGGAATGTGTGTCTTGTTCTTTCTCTTTCTCTGCTACATCAGCATCCCTTGCACTCCTGCCTACCTCATCCAGCAACCCCATTTGTCCCCCCCCCCACCGCTTCATATGATGGTAGGCCATTAGTAACTTCTGTGTTGTCTTGTGCCTTGCATTGCTCCTGGTTTCATGCTGATGCCTGTCTCTCTCTCTCTCTCTCTCTCTCATGAAGAGGATTTAAACCCAAATCCCCTGTATCAGCTTCAGGGAAGGATTTTTTTCCCCTGAGGCAGTACTGGGGAAAGGTTCTTGCCTCTGAGCTTCTGCTTCACAACTATCGTTTTACAAATTATTGCCCCTGCCCTTCTTTTGTACCACCGTGCTGTCACAGTACAATAATCTCCAAGGTGAGGGCTACGCATCTCTGAATATGGTTTGCTGCAGTTGAATAAGTAGGGTAAATTTAAGCCCTGCAGTGTTCCCTTATTCTGTTTGAACAAATGTTTCTTAGTTTATGTACAAGTTTCCTCATGAGCAGAATCAAGTATTCTGGAATTCTCATTCTTCACAATGTTATCCAAAATTTGTTAATAGTCACATAGTCAAATGTCTTTGCATAATCGATAAAATGCTTTTAAACACCTTTATGGTATTCTCTGCTTTCAGACAAGATCTGTCTGATGTCCACAATAATATCCTTCATTCCACATCCTCTTCTGAATCTGGCTTCAATGACTGACAATTAACTGCGGATGTAAAATTGTGACTGATTCATTAGCTTCAACAGTATTTTACTTTCTTGTGATATTAATGACATTGTTTAACAATTTCTGCATTCTGTAGAATCATCTTTCTGTGAGAAAGGCACAAATTATGATCTCTTTCAGTCAGTTGGCTAGGTAACTGTATTCCAAAGTGTTGTCCTACATCAATTTTTACCAATGCCTTCAGTGCCCCTTGGATTTCTTCATTTAGTTACATCAGTTGTTGATTAAATGCTACATCCAGAAATAGTTCAACATTTAGCAATTTGTTTTTAGTGCAATGTTTCTATTTGTTCTTCCATTCTCTTCTGATGCTTCTTGTGTTGTTCAGTATCTTCCCCTTAGAATCCTTCAATATTGCCACTTGAAGCTTGAAGTTTTACTTCAGTTTGTTCAACTTGAGATGCTAAACTTGTTATTCCTTTTCCGTTTTCTAACTCCAGGATTTTGTACACACCATCATCTTGCTCAGCTTCCCCTCCTTCCCCGCCCCCCCCCCCCCGCACTGTTTCTTCCATTCATTTTATTTAGTCTGTGTTTAAGAGTATGTTCAGAGTCTCCTCTGCTGTCCCTTTGGTCTGTTTTTCTTTCCTGTCTTTTGCTTTCTTAAATGACTGCTTAGAGCCAAGAGTCCAAAATCAGTTTTATTAACGGAAAAATACACATATGGGAGTAAAAGTGGTTGAGAAAAAAAGGTAATTAATTCTATCACAGAAGTATTATAACTAGAAATTAAATCATTATGGTGCTAAGAGAAACAAAGGAAAAAGAATATATAGATATTTAGAGTGTCCCCAAATTATAAACAAGAGTCATTCTTAAACTGAATTTATATATGCATTCCAACAGTTTGTTTTGGTTCAACTATAACATCAGTTGGTCAAATATTTGCCTTATTTTAGTCAGGTATCACTAACTTGTCAAAGAGCCTGTTACTTTGACAAGCAACTGAAAATAGTACCTCTTTTTTGCTTGCCTAGAGAAATCTGAAGAGAATTTTGCTTTTATGAAGAAAAGCAAAAGTCGGAGCAAATTTTCGGGTTTATTTTGTAGTGAGTACTGACAGAGCCCTCCTGCACTCCCACCAGGAGAGTGGCCTGGCGATTCTCTTTCCCTGAGACCCACTTAGCATCAAACTGCAGAGCTCCCACTTTGCCTAAGCACTATATGTTAATAGATTTTCAGTTTTGTGTGCAATTTGGTAAACTTTCACAGATCATTAGGTTTTCCAAGTAAAGTAATGGTTACTTCGCTGTATGTCACTTCAGTTCATGAGATGTTTCAGAGAAATACCTGAATAGCAGGGAAAATCTGTATATAGTAAACAGTGCACATTTTTATGTGTGACCAACATTATTGCAACACTGAAATATCTTTAATATAATAATCAATAATAACAATAATGTTTTGATAGGCAGAGCTGAGGGAAGTGGAATGCTAGCCACAGGGCACTGCAGAACAGCTGCTGCATAGGGAGCCCAGAGATCCAGGAGATCCAAGGCATTTGCCATGGAGGTGAAGGCAGAGCAGTAGGTGGGGCCAACAGCTTCCCCAGCCCTCTGTTGGGCTCAGCTCACCAAGAAACAGTGAGTCCAGTGACAGCAGCTGCAGCCACTCAGAGAAAGACAAGGTGTAAGAGAGACTGATGGAGTCTAGGAGAGGAAGAGGAGGGGAAAGGGCAGCGGGTGGGCAGAGTGAACTTCCCTGAGGGCAGAGGCACTGGACGTGCTCCTGTGATGAATCTGCTGGGAGCACTGGAGAAGATTGCCCTGAGAGTCCAAAATGGAAAACTGAAACCAGTGCAGAAGGGAAGCTTGGGAAGGAGCAGGAGGTGGAACAGGAAAAGGAGAGGTGCTGGAAGTGGCTGTGAGCAAGGGGTCAGGGAGTGTCTGGAGCTGTGAGTAACCAGACAGCAATGTATCATTCCCTCCCAGCAGGGCTTCAGAGGGTAAAGAGGGAGAGGAAAGACTTTGAGAGCTGGGAGTGGTTCTTAAATAATCTGTAGTTTCTATGTAAATCAATCAGACTCCACTCAGGGCCTGCCTGTATATAATTTCAGGAAAACAACTTCATTTGTCAGAGTATATATTTCCATATCCAATATGATTATTAATGCTGTGGAAAACTTCTTCAATAAGTGTCTGGGGAATGGAACAGAGATGTTCTTGATTGCTTTTATTTATTGGCCTGTAGAAAGTTAATCATCTGTATTAAAGAAATTACCCAATATTGCTCACTGAGAGAAGTCTTGGCCTTTAAAATTAATAATACATGTTTATTTGCCAAGCATGTTATTTCTGTAAGAGGCATACTCATATTTTTCTATTCATTGATATGGATTTCAAGCTATGGGCCACAATCAACAAGATATGATGCTAATATTAAGGCAGCAAGTAAACCATTAACCATAGATGTGATACTAATGTGCAATAAAATAGTCAAGGGGATATTTTTTTTCTTTATTCACTGATCCCTAAAATCTAATTATCTTATAGTTATCATGAAGCAGACAATTTTTGGCTCCATAGAGAAGTTTAAAGTAACCAATGTTAAGAAATTCAAGAAAATTGTTGACATCAGAGAATTGTCTGCTGTCAACAATTTCTTAACATTGGTTACTTTAAACTTCTCTATGGAGCCAAAGATACTTTTTTAAATTAACCTCTAACTATTTTATAATTGCCAAATGTATTAATCTTAAGAATTTTAAAGTATTAATCTTAAGAATTTTAAAGCAATAATGTTGACTCTTGTCATCTGCTAAATTTATGAAGCCCTTGTCTGAAAACAGCCATTATTTACACATTGTGATGAGGAGAGTTTGTCTCAAATGTATTTAGTAATCCCAAGATGCCAGGAATATGGATGATATTTAATTGACCTACCCAGCTTTGTTTCTTTGCAACCCTTCTGCAAATTAAAATTTCATGAATATTACATAAAAGAGTGAAATGTGAGTTGCAATTGAAAATGAATTTTTAATTTGGTTTATAAATTTTCCAGATGTATCTAAGTATTTATAGGGAGCTCTGGTGGCCTAGTGGTAAGAAGTTGTGCTGCAATCTCAAAGGCACGCAGTTCGAATCTACCAGTTGCTCCTCGGGTTAAGGATAGGTAGTCTTCTTTCATGTGATTTACTACCTTTGAAAGCCCTCTAGAGGGTCAGCTGTGAGTTGGTTCCAACTCGACAGCATCATCCAACAACAACATGACATACTGCTGTGGGACTTCATTCATTCATTCCTGTTTGTACAGATTCTTTTTTAAAATATTCATTCTATCCTAACACTGAGTTAAATGTTAAGAACAAAGCAATAACCAAAAATTTGTACCAGACTTTCTCTCAGAGAGGATGCTGTCGAGTGGGAGAGACAGAAATCAACTGAATAATCACAGAAATAAGTTAAATATTAAATTTATAGGAAAGATGAGAAAGAGCTGTAGGACGAGAGAGGAACAGAAAAGATAGAGATCCTAGAATCGACACTCTAACAGTCAGTCTCTTCTATTTGGGTGTTTACACTTTAAAAAGACTTTTTTGGCCATGATTGATAACCTGTAACTATAGTACTTCTGAAGGAGTTTGAGATAAGCTTCAGAGATTTATTTCATTTCTTTAAGCCCTTCATCTTGGGAATCAGATCTCATAGTCAGAGGACAGCTGGTAGAAACTTGTATAACCTTTCAGTTCCTGTCTGTGTTCTTTATTCCCATAGAATCCTATGTTTGATACTCACTCTTAGAGGGGGGTCTTTTACTTAAGACATGGGAGAAGAATATTCAAATTCTGGCAGAAATGTAGCCATTGATTCTGAATAACAAGGGGAAAGGCTTTCTACTTTTTCAGTTTTGCTTTATTAATAGCAGCTTAACTAATACATATGTAATTTTCTTTCCTTTCCGCTTGGCATGCACTGCTAACATGGACTTCTACAAAGGCTCAGGTTGGTGATGCAATCCATTTTGATCTTTATTGTTTTTGTTTCGTGAAAAGAAACATTGATGTTTTCTTCGCAAACCAGCTTTTGCCTCCTCTTTGTAAAGCCTATCAAAACATTTGTTCACTCATGAAGGAAAAGGGCCTCCTGTAGGCAAGCTAGTGTTCTGATACGTTGCTCCTGAATGGGGTCATTTATTTCAGGAAAATGATTGTTTCAGAAATGCAGGATACTGATTTATATCCACTTACTTTGTTGTGCCTGGGTCCATTTATGCTAGGAAGAAAACAATGCTTAGAATTTGGAATTCACAGGCTAGTACAGGTTCTGAAAAGGTTCTGCTGTTGAATTTGTTCTGTGTTCTCACGGTCTATCAGATGACGTTATGCAAGGCTCGATTGCTATTAACAATTTCATACATAGCTTCAAATGAAATATTAATTCCAAGATACAGAATTCTTAGCAAAGCATTCTTTTAAAAAAGTTTTTTTTTCTTTTTTTCTCTTTTTGTCTTTCCCTTCTTGTTCCTTTCCCCTAAAGGCATTTATCTTTTTTCAAGATGATGTCAGCATCTATATAAATTTCAAGATCTTCACTTCTGTGTTTTTAGTAAATTCACCTGCATGTTTTTGTCCTCCTCAATTCTTGTTTGGAATAATGTTGATTGTATTATGTGAAGTTGCTCACATGGTAGGCTGGAGTTATTATGTTTTTGATGTTTTAGGGGCCAGGAGCAATTTGACAGTCACAGGTGACTTAACATTTCCTGGGAACTCTGGTCGTGTAGTTAGAAGGAAGTTGCTTTGCTAACCCAAAGATGGCATCTCTCTGCTTATTTAAATCCATTATGCAGGAAAAAGATGGTCAGTTAAAGCCCTTGTGATTTCAGCGTCTGATAACTCACTGGAGGGTCACCTAGAAATTGGTTCTGGCTAGATGGCAAGAGTTTGAGTTTTGGTGGAGTCTTTGTTTATTTAGTCATGTGTAGAACTTTATCAAGAAAAAGAACATGGCTAGTTGGTTTTAATTCTAGGGACTGGTGAGAGTATAAGACCCAAAAAATATAATGACGTCACATTCTTGGTGTGATCAAATACTGTCCGAATGCTTGAGTTGACTTTCCTACTCATACTTGTATGTAAAATAATGATAGTCAGTTCTTGGAACTTTCTCCCACTGCTTACTCTACACATATGTAAGCAGCATTTGTAAAGGCTGAATTTGTTAGAATTAATCATTCATCTCAGAGTCAATGTCCTTGATCTTTATAATGATTTGCCAATATAAATCTGTAGCTTTACAGAAACATTATTCCCTGAGTCAGGATAATGAGTTTCTACTCATGGCACCTGCACTCAAACAATTGCTCTCGCTTACCAAACCCAAGTTTTTATTTTTGTTGTCTTAAAATAGTTTAGTTTTTTATTTTTTTTTCAAATTAAAAATGATGGATAATCACCTTCTAACATAAGACGTATTCTCTTTGACTAACTAATCTTTTATCTTAGAAGTTTTCATATCAGTTTATAGTATTTATTACATCCGTGTTCTTATGTGCTGTGCCATTGAGTTCAACTGTGACTCATATTGTCCCTATTAATAGTTCTGAACCCTGAGCATTCACATTAGAAAAGAGGTAAGTGTGTAGCTACTTGCTGATGATGTTATTGTATATAAAGAAAATCTTAAAGATACCACAAAAATATTGTGAGAACAAATAAACAATTGCAGCAAAATTTTAAATTACCGGAGTAATATACAAAAATAAATTGCATATCTAAATCAAAGATCTGAACAGAAAATTTCAAAAGGTAGCTCAGGACAACAAAGCAAGATACTATAATGAAATGTGCAGAGTGCTGGAGTCAGAAATTGAACTCGCTCAGCATTTCTTAAGCTGAAGGAGTTGAAAAACAAATTCAAGCCACGGGTGGCAATATTTAAAGATAGTTTGGGTAGAATGTTGAATGATCCTGGAAGTATCAAGAGATGATGGAAGGAGTACACAGAGTCACTGTATCAGAAGGAATTGGCTGACACAGAGGAATTTCATGAAATAACATATGAGCAAGAGCCTATGGGGATGAAGGAGGAAATTCAAGTTGCTCTGAAGGAATTGGCAAAAAACAAGCCTCCAGGAGTTGAGAGCATACCAACTGATTTATTTCAACAAATAGACGCTCCCCTGGATGTCCTCACTAAGTTGTGCCAGGAAATTTGCAGGACAGCCAGCTGGCCAACTGAATGGAAGAGATCGATATTTGTTCCCATTCCAAAGAAAGGTGACTCAACAGAGTGTGGAAATTATCAAACAATATCATTGATATCACATGCAAGCAAGATTCTGCTGAAAATTATCCAAAAACGTTTGGAACAATATGTCAACAGAGAACTGTAAGATGTGCAGGTTGGATTTAGAAGAGGTCATAGGACGAGGGATATTATAGCTAATGTTAGATGCATCTTAGCAGAAAGCAGAGAATACCAGAAGAATGTCTATCTGTGCTTCATTGACTATGCAAACAAATGCTTTTGACTGTGTGGATCACAAGCTATGGCTGACTCTGAGAAAAATGGGAATCCTAGAACATCTGATTGTGCTAATATGAAACCTATACTTGGACCAAGAGGCAGTTGTCAGAACAGAGCAGGGAGACACTGGATGGTTCAAAATAAAAAAATGGGTCAATTAGGGATATATATTCTGTCTCCATAACTTTTCAGTCTGTATGCAGAACAGATCATCTGAGATGCTGGGCTGTACAAGGAGGAATGTGGCATCAAGGTTGGTGGAAGAATCATCAATAGCCTGCAGTATGCAGATGACACAACCCTGCTTGCTAAAACTGAGGAGGACCTGAAGTGCTTGCTGCAAAAGGTCAAGGACTGCAGTCTTCAGTATGGATTGAAGCTCAACATCAAGAAAACAAAGATTCTGACCACTGGACCAATTGGCAGCATCAGTGTGGATGGTAAAGAGATTGAGACAGTTAACAGTTTTAGTTTACTTGGTTCCACAGTTCACACTCTTGGTAACAGCAGCCAGGAAATCAAGAGATGAATTGCATTGGGAAAGTCAGCAGTGAGGGACCTCTCAAGAGTACTGAAGAGCAATGACATCAGTCTGGAGACTAAGGTGCACCTGATCCGGGCTACAGTCTTTGCAATTACAAGCTATGCATCAGAGAGTTGCATGGTGACTAGAGATAATAGAAAGAGAATTGATGCCTTTGAGCTGTGGTGCTGGAGAAGAGTGTTGAATATACATGGACTGCTAGGAGAACAAACAGGTTTGTCCTGGAGAGGGTGAAGCCAGAATGCTCCTTGGAGTCAAGGATTCTGAAGCTTCATCTGACATACTTTGGGCATGTTGCAAGGAGGGACTCATCCTTGGAGAGGGACATCATGTTTGGGAGAGTGGAGGGACGGCGCAGGAGGGGAAGACCCTCGATGAGACGGATTGATTCTGTGAGTGGAGTGGTAGGAATGAGTGTGTTTGAGACGGCAAGGTTGGCACAGGATAGAATGGCGTTTAGGGCTCTTGCACATAGGGTCGCTATGAGTCATAAGCAACTCAATTACATATAACAACAACATGCTAACAATTAACTTTTCTAAAGTTTAATTAAAACTATGTTATTGGGAAAAGTAACAAAATATTTATAAATATTTAACAAAAGAAGTAATTTGTACTCTGAAAACTATAAAGTATCATTGAAAGAAATTCATGAGGACCTAAAAACTAGGAAGATATCCTATGACCATAATGGGAATATTTTATATTATTAAGAATGCAGTTTTCCTAAATTAAAGCAGATGTTTGCCACATTATACAACAAAATTGCAGTTTACTCCTTTTTTGTTGAAATAGGCAAGTTGGATCTAAAATTCATACGGAAATACAAGACTGATGCATCTTGAAACAAAAATAAGATCTCACATTTCTTGAGTTTAAAAATTACAGATCTAATAATCAAAAGGAAGGAGGAGTGGCATCAACTTCCATGATAGCTTGCCTCTGGAAACCCTGTGAACCTGGAGAGAGCATGAAAGACACCGAAGCATTGAGGATTCTACTTCATAGGGTCGCTATGAGTCACCTGTGACTCAACGGCACTTGACAACAAGAATAATCAAAATGTATTGGATCAGGATATGGATAGACACAAATATCAGTTGGAAAGGATTGAGACTTCAGAAAGAAGCCCATATGTTTATGGTCAATTATTTTTTTCCAAAGGTGATGTATTAGAATCATACTACTGCTCCAACAGATGATCACTAACTTCAAACAAACAAGAAAACCGCCACCAGCTCATTGTATCCAGGGGTTCCAACTTACAGCAACCCTCCACTGGGTTTCTGAGCCTGTAAAGTGAAAAGAGGAGAATTGCGTGCATCCTTTTGCTGTGGAGCGTTTGGCAGATCCCAACTGCTGGAGATGCACAGCCTTGGGTGAGCAGCGCAGCTAGCTAACAACTGCATCACCAGAGCTCATCTCCCCAAAATGCGTGCCTTAAAACAGTACAAATTTTAGGTGTTTTGTTTTGCTTTCTTTCCCTTTTATATAACTGAATTGTTCAAAATGGGAAGGGCGTACACCAGGGATATGTCCTGTCTCCGTACCTTTTCAACCTGTATGCAGAACAGATTATCCAGGAGGTTGGGCTCTATGAGGAGAAATGTGGTGTCAGGATTGGTGGAAGATCTATCAACAATCTGTGTTATGCTGATGACACAACACTGCTTCCCTGCTTGCTGAAACTGAGGAGAACCTGAAGCGCTAGCTGCAGAGGACCAAGGAGTGTAGCCTCCAATATGGATTGAGGCTCAATGTCAAGAAGACAAAGATTCTCACCACTGGACCAATTGGCAGCATCAAGATGGATGGTGAAGAGATTGAGATTGTTCGCAGCTTTAGTTTGCTTGGCTCCACAGTCAACACTCTTGGCACCAGCAGCCAG